AAAGTAAGTAGGTTTATGTTGTTTTATATTATGCTCGAAATTTTTTGTACATGTGCTTAAATGAGATGGTCTGGTTAAAGATTTCTATTTGGCGGTATATATTGTTTATGTGAGTAATTTGTGTGGGATGGCTTGATGTGAATTTAATGGTGAACTTAATAGTTGGCTTGTACATGTGTGATGATGAATGATTGGTATGTTTATGGATCCATGTGATATATCTATGTGAGGTATGCTTACATATGTGTGGATGGGTTTGATTAAAACAAAATGGGCTTGGACCTCCTTAGGAAAGCATTAGGCCAAGGGACTAAAAATGCCAAAGTGTGGATTGTTTTTTAGAACTAAAGATCTAGACCTCTATGGTAACCCACTTAAGTATAACTTAGTAAGTTAGGGTGAAAAGAAATGACATAGAAACAAAAGACAATCCTTTGCCTTTTTGAGACCCCATTCGGCCTAAACCCAAAAATTTGGGCTTTGAGTTCCACTCATCCAATTTATGAATCAATGGTTCAAATGCACCAAAATGAGTATAAATTGAAGTGTAGAGAGGTTAGATTCTTAGAAAAACAAAAATTTGGGTTTAGACTAGGAAACACTCGGCTTAAACCTTACTTGTTTTACAAATTGAGTTCCAATCATCCAACTCCACATTAAATGGGCCAATTACACCTAAATAAGTATAAAATAAAGTGTTGAAAGGCAATATTTTAAGAAAAATAAAAATTAAGATCGAGATCTAGTAGAAGCAAAATTCGACTATTAAGGCTCAATTTCGGGTTAGGAGGGAAATCCCACTTCAAATGTGCTCCAACATATTCCTAGGACTCAAATACGGAAAGTGATTAACTCTAATACGCGGGTCTTGTATTCCTTGTGTGACCACGATGATTTCGAATGTGGTATGAAAATGAAGGGTTTGGTATCCATGATTTGGTGAAATGTGATAAACGAAACATCATGTGCATTATATGCATTTGGGGGTAGTTTGACTTGAGAAAAATAATTGAGTCGAGAAATGATGAGGTTTGATAACCGACTTGGTTTAGAAATTGAATAGGTTTGGTAACCTAATTGGATTAAATGGGTATTAGCAATGAAGTTGTATGCGTGCTCTATCAATTGATTACATCGTTAAGCGATGGATAATTTCACTAATCGTGTGCTATAATGAGGGATAATTTTGTTGCCAGCGATAGGTGATTCGGTAATCACCGAGGAATGAGAATAGAGCGGACTTGCTAATACCAAGTGTACCCAAATTAAAATCAATAGGAAAGGCTAAGTGATAGGATTGCATTATATCTTACGTATATCACCCTACTTATCGGGCTTCGGCTCACATTGTTATTATTTCATGCCATGACGAGTAAAAGCGATTGTAGTGTTGATAAAGAAGCTATCGGTTCTTTTCGGAAAAAGGCTCATTTGTGACACAAAAAAAAGACATAAAAAAATCTCTTTTGATTATAATATAGGGTACAATGTTTAACAATGTGTAAATAACACCTTAGATATTTTGTAAACCTCTATAATAGTATTCATTAATGTTGTGTAAATTTTCTTGTATGTACTTTACATTTCATATGTTATTATTCATTGGCTATGTAAAAATGTGAGTAAATTTGAGACTTTAGTCTCTAAGCCGTAACATATCTAGCCATGCCTTTTAGGTAATTGGTATGGTAACTCGGGGACGTCACGGTTCTTGATTAGGTTAATTTGGGAGAAATGATTTTGAGTTAGAAAATCATGCAATTGAGCTTAAAAAATGTTAATTAGGCTTAAAATTGACGAAGAAAAATAAAAAATTCCTAGGATTAGGAGAGAGAAAATATTAAGCCATAATGCTTAAATTGGGTATTTTGGATGCTTTGATTTGTTTAATATTCTATTGCTTGATTATTTGTTATTTAAGTGTGAATCAATGATCTAGTATGAGAAATTGCATAAAAATTAAAAACTTGACCTAGTTTCTCTAAACCCATATTCGGCCCAATTTAAGAAGAAATTAGTGTTTGAATGCATTTAATTTCTAATGGATTTATTGGTTAATTCCAAGTTAGAATAATGTAAACGAGATGAATTAGAATGAAAAATTTTATCGAAATTGAAAAAATAACCTAGAATACCTCGGTTAGGGTTTCGGTCTATTAGGCCCAATTTAGGGTTTTGCATGCATTTAACCTATGAATATCTAATTAGTTAGGTTTTTGATGTTAAAATGTATTTGGATAAATTAATATAAGAAATTTTCTTTGAAATTGGAAGAAAATATTTAGCTTAATCTAAAAGGTATATTCAATCAATATTAGTAAATTAGGGTTTATGGTTTAGTTTATGCAATTTGATTGTGATTTAGTTTACTTGTACTATTGAATGTGAATTATATGTTTATTATGGATGTACGTTGTGAATTTGATGGTTGATTAAGTGTAATGCCTTGTATCACATAATGTTGCCAATGTGAGGAATTATGTATGTTTATGTTTATGTTTATGGTTCCTTTATATGGATTGATTTGAAATTGAATTACAACGTAATATTTATGGTGCATTTATAATGTTAACACATGTATTATCATGACATAAATGCACATCAATCATGGCATGCACTATATGAATTCATGATGGTTATACATTTATATTAAAATGCATATGCATACCAAATCATGAAAAGAATTTTATGAAAAGATTTTAAGTCATGAAAAAAGACTTTTCCTTTAAGTATTTTCCAATAGCAATTGGAAATATTTCATGATCATGAGATTTTTATGACTTTCATGATTTTATAAAGAGAGGCTTCACTGGTCTTCCATGAATTTCATGATTAAAGGTTCGGTGGCGGGTAGGTATAGACGTGCACTTTCGGAGACTTGACAGAGAGCGTTCGTAGACTAGTCCGGTTCGTCGGACATATCATGAAATGTAAGATCTATCATTATTTAAAGGTTTCCACATCGTAGTCCATACCTAGTAATGTCATAGGAAAGACACGGTGTCTTGTTAGCTTGCATTCATTATACTTCAAATGTAGGTTAATGGTTGTAATATTCTCAACTTATTAGGTCCTAGGTCGGGGGTGCTATACGGTGGCCTATGTCATATGGTGAGGTCGTGGTTCGGACACCGACAATGGTAGTGATCGTGGATGTGGGCATAGTTACGCTTCCATTCCGGGTCGGATGGCCCCCCTCCCCATTGACATGTGTCTTTATACCATCCTCCCACAACCCTTATGTCAAACCCATCATCATTTGACATGTCTCTACTCGAATCCTATCAAGATAGACCTACACATCCTAGCATTTCGAACCTTCGTTGTCATTAGAACCCTTGCTTCAACATGATGACTCGCTAGGCTTCTACATATAGCTTGTCATCATACGTCCCTTTTGATTTGTCTTCCACATTTGTTCGTTCTACTTATGATCTTCGTATCCTTATTACTCTCGTTGATGGCAAAGAGTGCGTATTATGCATATTTGTTAGTGCGTTATTATATTTATGCATTCATTTAACCATTAATGATCTTGTTTGATTGTTTGTATCCATCCGATATGAGCTTTCATTGGATTTATAAGATATTTCATGAGCATGTCAACCTATCCGGAATGACATGGTAGTCAATTACTGAGCAAACTAAAGAGTTCTATTGGAATGAGTTTAAGGTAGTTTGTAGTTTAATTTATTATGTGACCATAAATTAAATTAAGAAATATTAATGTTCATTTAAATGTACTAATAGATATTTTAACATTCTTATAGAAGTTTTTTATGTCGGATTGGGAGTTCGATTGAAGCATTAGGAAAGCATGGTAGAGTCTCGCACGAAAGCGATATTCTAACTTCCTTTAGAAGGTGAAGATATACCCCAAACCAACATATATCTCATGATAGATATAATATGCATGATAGAAGGAACAAGAAAAACCCGAGTCTTGTGCTTGATCCGAGTAGGTGGCCTTGAACCGCATAAGCGAGATGGTTAGCATCGGGGCGACCCATCTAGACATACGGGGGCTCGATCACCCACATGGAGCACAATACACATGATAAATCCTATATATATATATATATATATATATATATATATATTATTTGAAATTATTGCAACATCAATATATATGTAAGTATATTTGTTTCGAGCATAAGAAGTTGAGTCATGAACTCGATGCTCACGAGGTGCTCTTGAAGACTCATAGGAAAAAGGTTGATAATAAGTACGCATTCATAGATCAACGAGCAAAAAATCTCGAGGTAAGTAATTTATAACCTTATTTCATACGTATGCCTATTTTATATAATTTTTTAAGATTACTATTTAATATTAAAATTTATACAATTATATAAGACAACGTCAATAAAATATTTGACGAAGAGGTTACTAACTTGGAGGACGAGAGGCTACTTCATCGTCCGACATTGACATGAATGAGATATTTAAGAGGGCTATTAGAGAAAGAGACTATAAAAGGAAGAAAATGTACGAACTCGAGTCTTAGGCCTTTTATTATTACTCTAATGTTAGTTTATCCTCTAGTTTGATAACATTGCGGGTCCATATCGATGAGCGACTTTGAAAGGAAATGGAAGCCAAGATGCTAGACATGAAGAAGCAAGAGCGAGAATGTGATGATGCGATAGATGCTACTTGATATGTAAAACGAGTAATTCACCAACCAATCATCCGATCGACTATCATGTGTTGGATGAAAATGCTGATTTTTCATGACATGTATCCCTTTCATCACAATATATATATATATATATATATATATAAGCCTTTATAATATATAAATTCCAATCCAATCATACACACACACTATACATAATTGATTTATAAATATATATTCAAACACCAAATTATATTAAAGCGTAATAATATTCCATTAAATAAAAAGCATAAGAATAGACTGAAAATGATCTAGATTTTGATGTAGAAATGAGCTCTAGATTTGGGAAGGTAAAGACACCAATATTTATCCTTTATGCTTCATGTGGGGAGGCCAAATTGTCGATGGGGGCATCAAAATTTATCAAATCTGGTGCTGGTGGTTTAGTTCTGTCTTTGAAAATTTGAGATTATTTAGTGATGATGCTTTAGATGAGCTTCAAAGCTTCAGTAAGCTCAAATCATTGGATATGAAAAATGATATCCTTGAGAAAACAATGGTGGTAAGCTTTGTTAAGCTGAAGCATAGAGAAAAATAGCTCATAGAAAAATACAGATTAATATTGCTCGAGGCTATTGATGTTATACAGGAAGCTACTCCTCCGGTGATATTTTATTTAAAAAATTGGTATTTAGATTTGTTCATGCAATAATTCTACCTTTTTTGTTGATTCTTTTTCTTGCTTTCAATCCTAAATGAGGATTTTGCCTTTGAATGACAGATGAGGGAGCTTTCACTTCTTATTAATGCGGCTTCTCATATTGATGAGCCATTTTTACTGGCTATAGTGGTAATTGTGTGTTGAACTTCAACAAATTCTGGTTCCAGGATATACATTGGTATTAGCTCTATATTTTTGAATAAATCCTTTCCTATTTACTTGAAAAGATCTAGAATTAAAATGGTCTTCAATTATTTTCCTTAAGTTTTTGGTTTACTTCCGAATAAAGAAAAAAATTATGTCAAGTTCATGGCTTGACTCCATATGTTGCTTAAGACCAAAGCATGATTTCATGTTTCAGGATTTCTATTTTTTTTTTCAAATAATTCCACGAACAACCTATGTAAATAGTTGCATTTTGGCATTTAGGTGTTAACCAAATACTGAATTGATAATGATTCATCATTATTTTTTCAAATGTGTTTGTTTAAAATTAATATTTAAGGTTGATTGAATTAACATGTTAATTAATTTTACTTCAATTTCTTAATTTTTTTCGTACTGATTCCACTAATTACTTATTAAATTTTTAATTTTAGGTTACTTTGATATGTTTATGGAGTTAAAAAATTTTTTTATTTGATTATAAATTTATCAAGTATTTAAGGTTTATTGAATCCATTACATTTATTTATTCTCTGATTTACAAGTGGACATGATACTCGAAAACTTGATGTCTTTCTATCGTCAATGAACCTCGAAAATTTGTTTTGATCTTGGTAAGAATTTTTTTTTTCTAATAGCATGCTTTTTTTTTTTTTTTACTTAAAATTAATTTCAAAGCTTTTAAAGTCCATGCTAATTTTTTTTTTTTTTAATTCTTCTAAAAGGAATTATCGTTTGTTTTTCAAGTTACTTAAAGATGCATGCAGGTTGAGAAATCGACAAACTTTTAATGTAGGTGTGGCAAATTTTTTTTTCTTTTTCATAATTATCAATATCTTTGTGACTATAAAATGACCATATTTTGTAGTAATTAATTAGGATTGTATATGTTTGACTGTTCAAACTACTGTTCTTTCTTTATTTGTTTATTTCCAATAAACCAGTGTTTCGAAAGCTGGGACTTGACTATGCTAATTGGACTCATATGTGGTTAGTGCCTTCTGTAATGATTGCTTTGGTTAAACAGTATTTGGTTAAGTATGACTCTTCATCATTGAAAAATATTAGCTCTGGTGCTGATTCTCTGTGAAAAGATTTGATGAAGGAATGTGCCAAGAATATGCCTGATACTATAATTAGTTAGGTAGTTGATATAGCTGATTTTTTGATTTCTCAAAAAAAAAAAAAAATAATAATAAAATAAAAATAAAAATCTTCTTTCTGAATGAAGATGCTTTCTGTGGTTTCAGGGCTACGGCATGACTGAAACTTCTGGCATTGTTTCAGTGGAGGATTCAAGAATAGGTGTTCGATATTCAAGTTCTGACTGAAAGCTTATGTTAATTTTTGTGTCATGAAGATGATAGTTGATTCAAAGCATTTTAAATATTTCTTCGTTTTTTAATGTCAGTTGCTGTATAATATTGTGCTACCAGAAATGCCTATGTATGGACCTGAATATCCTCCTCAAAGTTTGTTGTTGTTTCCTCTCATTTGTTTTGTTATTTGTTTCATATTCTATACACACTGCAAGAGTGTGCCAATATAGGTTTGTTTTTGAATTTTGATTTCAAATAGAGTACACGTAATCGATTTATGAACAACTTGAAAAGTTGGATTAGAAAGTGGAACTTCTTTTCCTTCATTATATGGTTCACCAGAAAATAAACAAACAAAATTCTTAGTCTGTGTATGTTACGATGATGCTGTTGGTACCACTGTGTTTACAGAACTAAAACCTGGAGTTGTTGTGGATGAAGATGAAAAACTAAAAGATTGAGCAAAATCATCCTTCCCCTGTCTTCCTTCTTACGATGCTGCTAGCTACTGGAATGAGGGCTTGGCTTCATCATTTAAGTATTGATAGCTATTTGATTATGTTCATGCTTATCGGTCTAAGACCATCACTCCTGCTATGGTGAGTGGCTAAAATTTTAGATTTTTTCTCTTTTCTTAACAAAGTTCATTGGTTCTTAGTGCACTTACCTTGGTTGGAGAATTTGGTGGCAAATAATTACCTTGATTGTACGAGAATGGAATTGCTATTGGCCACATGAGAATATAAAGGGTGTATATTTTTTTGTTTGTTCATGCATCTATAAAAGCATTTCAAGGTGGTCATAGAGTCTTTTAGCTGTTTTAGTAGTTAATGCCTAGCACCAAATCATAATGAACTGCAACCAAACAAAAATAATGAGCTAATTTATTCAGCTAATTTTTTAAGACCCCGTTTCCAAGTACTCACTAATCACTCTCTTAATCTCTGTGCGTTTCTCAGTTCTCATCTGCTCCTCATCAAGGCTCATTTGGCTACTGTCCCTCAGGTTCCAAAACCCCATGCTCCTTTGATTTCTTTTTTCTTTGTTGCCTTTGATCTTATTTTTGTTTTAACAGTTGGTTGATATTTTGTATTGGGGATTCATTTTTCCTTTCATTTTGTTTTTGCTGGTTTCCTTTGTTGTTCTTGTTGGGAGCGATACCACTATAAGGAGATCTACTTAGGTGATTTTAATTTTGTTTTATGATCATGAAAGAATATTTAAAGGGTCTCTTTAGTTTGTGCTGTACTTCAACTTTGCTTTCTACAAGATGAGGGTAAACGTTTTCTTTGCTGAGCATTATGAAAAATCGAATGAAAAGGAAATTTGGGCTAGATTGATTTTTTAATGTGACCCATGAGGAAATCTACTGTTTGTTTGTTCATATTCAAAAACAAAGAAAATAGAATTTTTTGTTTGAGTTCAGCATTTTTTATTTTTTTATTTGATACAGATAAGGATAGGTCAATTAATAAGTTACAATTGTCTTAAAAATGGATTTGGTTTTTGAATTGGATTTTAGGAGAAGAAGATGAATCCAGGTTTAACGATGATTTTGGGTTAGAAAAGTAATCCTAAGTTTGTTAACATTTCTGGGTTTAAGAAGAAGTCTTGGGTTTGTACAAAGGAGAAGTTTCTGGGTTTAGACAGATTTTTTTGGGTTTTAACAACAGGAAGAACTTTCAGGGTTTCCACAGGAAAAATTCGAGTTTGCAAAGAGGAAATTTTTTTCAATTTTTAACAGAGAAACCTTTCTGGGATTTCAAGGGGGATTTGTCCGGCTTCAGGAGAAAAGATTTTTCAGGGCAGTAACAAGGCAAATTTAAGGATTGTTTTATGGTTTTGGGTTCCAGATTTAAAAGGGCTTTTTCTGAGTTTTACAAAGGGCGATTTCTCCACCAGTGATAACAAGAATCTGATCAAGACCTGTAAGTGATGCTGCTTTTCTGCTTTGATTCCATTTCAATGGATTTGTCTCAGAATTTTTTAGTGAAGATTATAAAAATGCTTAAATATCTAGGCAGGTGAGTGGAGAATTTCCTATTGGATCTCATGAAGAGCAGATGCTATCTTCTTCTCTTCACTTTTTTGTTATCTTGGAAGTATTCTAACACCAATTTTTAAATTTATTTATGAGCTTAATTTCAGGTTTTTCGTTATTACGAGTGCAACAAAAGGTATTAGACTAGAGATACGCACACAGTTGGCATCGAAAAAGGCCTTGGTGGTTTTAACAGCTAGAGATGAGAAGAGGGGTCTTGAAGCTGTTAAGAGTCTAAAATTTTCAGGGCTTTCTGATGTATTTTTTCATCAGCTTAATGTGATGGACAAACTCAGTATTGCTTCTTGGCCAATTTCATCAGAACCCAATTCGAAAGGCTTGATATATTGGTAATATACTTAGTTTCTAATTCAGAAATTCATATTTTTGTTATTGGCACTGGTCTACAAATTATAATATTTTTATGAAACTACACCAATTGAATAATACAGGCATAACTGGAAATGAAATTAAAGCAGAAGACAGAGATAATTTAAGTTATGGTCTTGATGATGTAAGTCTCTCAATGTAATATTACCTTCTTATAAATGTCTTGATCTATAATATATATATATATATATATATTTTTAACGAATTGGACTATTGATCAGATTATAGGTCCAAATGCTGTATCATAGAAAAAATATGTGAAGTAAACTTAAGAAACAACAGTCAGTTTCCTGAGAACAAATTATTACGAAATCAAGGTACTAACTCAAGCATTAATTCCTATTCTTGAACAATCCAATTCTGCAAGAATAGTTAACATCTCCTCCTCCTGGGGGAAGCTAAAGGTAAACTCTCCTTCCACCTCTTCAGGCAGATGTAATTATCATATTCCAATTAGCATATATATATATATATATGGAAATTAAAGTTCAGTATCAAAGGTACTGTTTTCTACTGTATAATTTGTTTCTCTTGCAGCTAATTCCTAATCATGGAAAAGCCAGAAAGGGTGTTAGGTGATGTTGATGGGTTCACAGAAGAAAACGTTGACAAGCTGGTGGAAAAGTTCCTGGAGGATTTTAAGAATCATTTACTTGAAACTAAATGCTGGCCTACCCTTTTCTCAGCATACATTGTGTCCAAGGCTGCTACTAATGCTTACATAAGGATTTTGGAAAAGAAGTATTCAAAAATTGTAACAAATGCATTTTATCCTAGTTTTACTAGCACGAGCTTAAACTATAACACTAGAATGTCCTCTGCTGATGAAGGTGCACGAGGTCCTGTAATGCTAGCTCTGATGCCTGATCAGCATGGCCGTTCTGGCTGCTTGTCTTTTCAGATGGAAATGTCTAATTTTGAAACATGAAGTAATCCATATGTATTTATAGTATATACATGTTACGTACTAATCATAGAATAAAGGTGGAGAGAGCTACTCATATTCAATGTGCCTGATCTATTGTGAGAAAAATGTTTCTCATAAATTTTAGAGTATTGCAAACTCTTAAACTTCAAATAAAAATATAAAAATGAATTTTGGGGAGATCTGCATTAGGAAGTCGTTTGGGCCAGTACAAAATAGCTTCATATATTGATGGACAGTGCTTCAACCCAAAAGCTTAGATGATGACCAACGTGAGATTCCCCCGTATATATGGAACTCAACAATTTCTCATTGCTTCAATAACCAGTTGTTTGCTACAGTCCACAATTATTATGACCATGATTTCATGAACGAAATGCTTAAAATTTTAAGAGAAATGTGAATTTAAACTATTAGTGTATAATTGGAGAAATAAAATTCAATATCAATATACTGATGATATAGCATATCATTTCATCAGAAATAAACGTTCCAGTTTTATCAAAACCAGATGTAAGTGTTTCAGTTTTATCAAAACAGCATATTTGTAGAACAAAAATGATGAGAGTATCATATACTAGACACCTAACGTATCAAATTCTCTTAATTCCAACGGTTATCGCCATCTTTTGCTTTAAAAAATTTCACGAATGCAAAATCGACTAACAAACCCTTTTTTACTTATCACAAGCATTGATTGAGGTAATTAACTGAAACATTATTATGATTTATCTTAAATGATTTGCTCCGCTTTTTATTCATAGTCTATTTAAATATTGTTTTTATTTAACTTCTTTGAAAATAAATTTATTTATAGCTCATATGTTCAACTATAAGCCAACAAATACTGATTTAATACAGAAACAAAATAATATTTAGTCTCAGCGAAGCGCGGGCCACATTCTAGTTTAGCCTAAACCGAAACACGCACACACGCTATTCGTGCTTTACCATTTTATTATAGTGATTTCCCCTCTTCTTCTTCTTCTTCTTCAGTTTACCCACGCAAAGAGAATAAAAAATCACAGAAGAATCTTCCACTTCTATTATATCAGCGAGCGACAGAGAGCTCCACGTAATGCTTTTGGATTGAGCTAGGCATCTCTGAGTCCGGATCTGATCTCTCTCCACTCGAGCCGTTTGTCAATTTTCTAGATCTGATTGAGGTAAGGAATCTCCTCCTCAAAAATTTACTTGCATGTGTATGCTTTATTTATGGATTTGAGATCTAGGTTTAATGCGATGCTAGTCTTGTTTCATGGTATGATTCGATGCTAGCATGGCATTGCAATTCTAATTATCTGATCCTTTTAAAGTAAAGCTTCTTAATCAGATCTAACTATACGTACCGGTAGATGGTAAGATTTACGTGTTTATGTTATTTAATGGATCTATTATTGGCTAAGAGAAGTTGTATATTGAAAATTAGTATTATTTTTGCGTTAACATCGGCGTGCTAGTACTTACCTACTTAAGAAAAAAGAACAAGAAGATGACGGATACGATAATGCAATGAAGATCTTAAATTATGAGTAGTAGAAAATGAATAAATGATTAAAGACAAATAAATTAATGTGATTCAACTATAGTGATATACCCCACAGATACAAAAGGCATGGAGAGCTTTCATTGGTATGTAAAGAGATTACAAATGAC